GTGTTTCCTGAATGAAACGAGTGTACGGGGTAGCAGTCACGACGTGCCGAGGAGTTGTAAGGTGACATTCCTGGCTGATTCCAGCCGATTTTCCCTGGCCCAACGTTGGGGGAATGTGGAGGCATCGTAAGGATTCTCCTCATGCACATTTATATCCGACTCCTTCCCAAAATGACTTTGAGCTGCTATCAATAACAGAAGAGCTGTGGGGGTTTTAGGACACACACCTAATTGCAGAAAAGACAGAAGGCAAGAATTGAAAGCCAAGTGGACGGGAAAAACAGTGTCAAGGAATGCTGAGTAAGGACCCCTGGGGGGGTGAGGGTGCTCTCCCCAGGTGACCACAGCAGTGAGCATGGAGGGCACCGGGTCCCCGGTCTGCGAGGAGCCAGAGGAGAAGCTGGCCCTGGATGACGACCTTCCGTTGACCGTGAACTTACTGAAGCATGAGCACGTGTGATCACCCACGCGGCCACACGCCTCCCAGCAGGGTGTGGGAGTCGCCACAGAACACGGCCAATTGTTCCCAAACATTTTAATGCCACAAACTGTTTGGTTAGCCTGCAAAGTGAGCTACAAAGATCCCATCCGTGCTGAGCTCGGGGAGAGCCCTGTGAAGGGGCAGCATCAGGCTGCACCAGGCTCCCCACCCCCCGCAGCCCTCACCCCTGCACAGGTACATGCACGTGTCCCTTCCGCGTCCTGCTCCAGCTCTGTGTGCACACGTGCCCCGCAAGCCGCCTCCTCCAGGAAGCTCTTCTCACCTAACCTAACTGCGCAGGAACCCCTTCCTGCTCAACACTGGCTGTGGGCCCTCGGGCACTTCCCGGTGCCCGCAGCAGGAGCTCCCCCTGCCTCTCTCACGCCTTCTGTGGATCGGAGCCTCACACCCTCCTTACCCCCAGCCGGGCCCCAGCGAATCTGCGTGGAACCAGCCCACGTGAGGAGCGGAGCTATCTCACCAGCAGACCCCTGCCCGGCCGCGGCGCTGCGCTCGTCCAGACACGGACGCTGAAAAACCAGGCTGCGAGCTTTCCCTTTCTTTTATTTTTCTCATCAATGCTTCCACATATCGTGTCCCTTTCATAAGCAGACCTGTTTTCCAGAGCAGTGTAGGCTCACAGCAAAACCAAGGAGATACTCAGATCTCTCCACGTCCCCTGTCCCCCCGCTACCACTCAGCCTCCCCCACTACCAACACCCGCCCAGCGCAGGACGGATGTGATGGTCAATGAACCTACATTCACATGTCGTCATCTCCCAGCGTCCACAGTCCACGCCGTGGTGCGTTCTCAGTGGCGTCTATCCCATGGGTTTGGACAAAAACAGAAATTGCTCACCCAGAGTCGCTTCACTGCCCTGAAGGTCCCGTGTCCTCAGCCCATCCGCCCACTGCGCCCGTCCCTGGGGAACACCGACCCGGGTGCCCTGTCTAGGTTTGCCTTTTCCAGAACGTCCCCGGCTGGAGTCCTCTGACGGGCTCCTTTCTCTTAGCGCGACACGTTCGCAGTTCCTTCCCGCCTCTCCATGGCTCGATGGCTCGTGCCTTTTTAGCGCTAAATAATATTCCGTTGTCTAGACAGACCATTTTCTTTATCCACTCGCCTTTTCTAAAGGACATCTTGGTAGCTTCCAAGTTTTAGCAATTACAAATAAGGCTGGTAACAACGTACTGGTGCAGGCTTTCGCGCGGACTGAGCGAGCGTGACTGGGGATCCCACGGTAAGAAGGTGCCCCGTTCTGTAAGAAACCACCGACCTGTCTTCCAAAGCGGCCACGCCGTGTTGGATCCCACCGGCAGTGAGAGAGTTCCTGCTGCTCCACATTCTTCTGTGACCTTTTCCGCTTGTGGTTTTCCCTCACTTTTTAGGAAAACTATTCTGTCTTTTAACCATAAAGGGTCAGCATGTAAGAAACGATCCTTCATCACACAGGCCACCCTCTGTGGGTAAGGAGACACGCTCCAGGCCAGAAGGGCCCCGGCTAACGAAACCGCCGACTTAAACAATTGAAAATTCTCTCCAACTTTCTCGCCAGCCCCGCAGTGTTTGTGGAAGGCAAACACTGAGCTGTGAACATAGCAGAGTGTTTGGGCGATGAGCTTGGATTATGGGTGAGAATACAGAGTTTCCTCCCAATCTTCAGTCTGCAACTCCCTCCTATGCATTCTTCCCGCCAGCCATCCCTCCAACAAATATTTGCTGAGCACCTGGCAGCACGTCCCGGGCGCTAAGCTGGGCTCTGGGGCCACGGTTGTGAGCAAAGCACAAGCCTCGGCTTCCAGGACCTGGAAGGCAGGGGCACAGCTAGTCTGGAAGAGGGAAAGGAAGCGCATGGGAGGAGGGAGAGAATCAAAGAGCATCTCCTGCAGCAGCTCTGGACTTCCCGCCTCGCCTCGCCAGGAGGGATGGCCTTGGCCCAGGCAGGGGCTCCTGCTGGCTTCCTCCCGCTGGACCTGAAAGGGGCTTCATCCTGGAGGGAAGCAATGACCCTGAATAATTCCCGCTGTCACTTCCTACAATGAGCCTTATCGGACCCCGCACCCCCATGCGCTGTCCCCCTGAGCGCCCATCCCCCCACTGCCTCCACCCCCACCCCCAGCTGGACTACAAACATGACAAAGGCAGGTGCACCACCACTGTAACGCTGGCCTAGCTCAGTCCCAGGCACACAGCAGGAGCTCAGCAAACACTGAATGAGGGAGTGGACAAGCAGGAGGGAAGAGAGGCGAGCTGCAGGCAAAGCAGACTAACTAAAGCTGTGGGGAGGAGACGCAGCGTGTGGGTGGCGGGAGATGGCTGCTGATGTCCCTCCCCGCAAGGACCCCCAGTTTAGGCTGATCTGAGGTTTCAGTGGGGATTAGCCAGGGAGATGGATGGGGGCTGGGGAGAGCAGGCTTTCCAAGCAGAAGGCGCAGCGCAGGGCCAGGTGGGGAAGGGGACCCGCTGCACTCTGGGAGCCAGGAGGGGAGTAGTGGGAGCAGCAGAAGGAGAGGGGCAAGGGCAGCCGGGCTGGATGGGTCTGGAGGAAGGGCCGTGGTGGGCACCTCACCTGCGACACCTTCATTCAGCGAACATTCCCGGAGCTCCTGCTGTGTGCTGGGCCTTCCAGGCCATGTGACGTCCGGTTCTTGATCCTAGAAGCAGTGAGGCAGCCCCTGGAGGGGGTCAGGCCACCACTGGTGAGTGACCAGTCCGTTGCTGTGGACTGTGTGGGCAAGAGGAGAAGGGGGACCAGCCGCGCGGTCTAGAATTACCAGGAATGGTCATTGATCGGAGACAGACATGGAAGGAGGGTTAGTTGACGGGGAGGCCCTGGGCGTTAGGCCAGAGCAGCTGGGGGGCTAGAAACACCGTTCATACAACCGGCAGGTGGACAGGGCACCTTTGCAACCAGAGTTGAAGCCCTTGGGGAGGCTGAACTCCAGAGGCACCCAGTTCTCCGGCCTGTCCGAGTCAGGAGTGCCCAAGCAGGGGCCCGGCATCCGCTGACGCCAGAGCAACTGGAGAGCCAGAAACTGGCCGGTGGCCGTCAAGTGCCAACTGATGAGAAGTGGAGTTCTGAAGGGCTCTGGAATAAAAGCATGGAACCCAGCTTATTAGAAAACCAGTCTCCCCAGAAGTGGGACAGGAGAGGTGTTTAACAGGCTTGGCCTTGGGTTTCCCTCCAGCGGCTGCCAGTGATTAGATTAGTTTCCTTTCCAAACGGACTTTCCTGCCAGGCCCCATTTGTCTTCTCCCTTCCACACAGGCGGTGGGAAATAAGGCCGCGGGCAACACGGCCTTGGGAAGGGAGAAGGACCCAGCGGGCCGCCGAGCAGACGAGCGCGCGTGAGCGTGCACACCCGCCCCGTGCATGTCTTCCCTCGTGGCCGAACCAGAGCAGCGCGGCCTCCCGGAAGGGGCTCGGGCTGGTCTGCGCGGCAGGGAGGAGCCCGCGGGATCCCCATCCAGCGCGTTCGCAGGCTCGGAGGGAGTCGATCTGCGGGGGCAGCGAACATGGACGCTTCCGCAGGAGGGTACGAGTCACCGTCTGTCGGGGAACGACGCACACGGGCACGCTCAGATGGGCCACGGGGGCCGAAGCTCAACACAGGTCACTGTTCAGCCTTTCACAGCTGGACTGGAGAATCTAGTGCACCTGAGAAAACTGCCTGATCTAAACGTTCTCACCTGCAAAAACAGGTGTAAACACCGCTCTACTGATTGCAAAGCCCGCCTGTGGCTTGGGGCTGCCACGGTGCGGAGGCGGAGCCGCGGGGTGGGGGGCGGCTGCTGTCTCTCAGTCCTGACGTGAGAGGACAGGGCTGGTGTCCCTCAGTCCTGGGGAGGTACTGAGGGGCTAGAAAACAGGGCTGGTGTCCTTCAGTCGGGGGGGTGGCTGGGGCAGGGGTCCTAGACCCCAGAGCTGCGGACCTGGCGTGCTTAAAGGCAAGGCTGGATTTCATGTTTTTAAAACTCTCAAAGGCGGCCACTGGCTTTAACGCAGGGTCCCTGAGGTGCCAGGAGCCGGGACACTGGAGAGGGGAGCGGGCGCCGCCGGACCGTCACCCGGTGCTGGAAGGGCTGAGCCCCGGGGAGGAAGGGCCGTCCGAGGGCGGCCTGCGGTCCACCTCCGCTGGGGGACTAGCCGGGCGGGGTCGGAGCAGGACCATGCGGGGACTCGCCGGCCCCCAGGCCAAGCGCACTACGGCAAAGTCGCGACGCTCGCACACCAGGGACCAGAGCCTGGAAACCGACCTCCGCCGCGGGCCTCCGGTGAACAAGCACTTCCCGCCTTTCCCCGGACACTCGGCCGGCGCTTCCAGATGCCCCTCACAAACATGGCCGCCGCCCCGTCTAACCGCGATGACCGCTGAGGCCGTCCGGCGGGTGCCCCTCACAAACATGGCCGCCGCCCCGCCCGCTGCGCACGGCGAGGCCTTTGTTGGGTCACGTGCAGGGGACGCCGGGCTGTGATTGGTCAACCCTCTGGTGGCGTCGGACACCGGGGCGCGGGTCGCGGGGTCGCCGCTCCTTTGAGAAGCGTTAGGCCGGGACGTGGGGACTCGGGGCGGTGCTGGGGGCGGCAGCGCGCCGCTCACACCCATGAGGAGCCGGAAGGTGAGGGGCCGAGGCCGGGGGGGAGCTGCGCCGAAGAGGCTGCGGCTCCGGCCACCCATCGTCTGGGGAGCTAAGGAGTGACCGCAGTGCGCCCAGGGCCGAGGGGCGGCACCTGCTCGGCCGCCTCGGGGTAGGGGCTTCCAGACCACGCCGCCGGGGGAGCTGGGGTATCCTGGTCACGCCCCCCACCCCGGGTAAGGTGCGGCCTGATCACTGCCCGCGATGGGGGGTTCCCAGAGCGCCCCCCGGGGGGGCGGGGTATCCCGGGTCACGCCCTCGGTGTAGGGGGCTCCCAGACCACGCCGGGGGGGGGGGGGGCGGGGGAGGGGAGCATCATGGGTCACGCCCCCACGCCCCCGGGTAAGGGGCTCCCAGATCACCGCCTGCGAGGCGGGCATTCTGGGTCACGTCCCCGGACAGAGGGCCGCCGGGTCCAATCCCAGGAAAGGGTCCAGAACCGTTCCGGACCCCAGGAACCGCTGCCACTACCGAAGCCCTTGGTTTTCGTCTAGGCGGCCGTCAGCTCCGGGGACGCGTGGGGTGGGAGGGCACTGGCCGGGGCGCCGGTTCCCGCACTGGGGACCCCGCGGGGCTCCGCCGCTGGTTGTTGGGGTGCGGGGGGGTGTTTCACCAACTTGACATCCTTTTATGGAGTTGCTGGGCCCGTTCGCAGAGTTCTGACGGGCTGGGATGCACGCGTGCCCTTCTGCTTCCGTGGTCTTTAAGCTCGTCTGCTTTCTTCTGTTCTTGTTTAAAGGCCTTGAAGTGGATACTTTGTAATGCAGCATTTTAGTGACTCATTCGCTATTGTTTAACATTTTCTTCCCAGCGGTTGCTCTGGGCTCTGCCATACGTATTGTAACAGTGGAATCCGCAGCAGGTCTGTGGCCGCCTGGTCCTAGTGGGGTGTACATCTTTATTCCCTCGGCCCGCTGTCTCGGGGTCGTACACCTGTTCCCTCTGAGTGTTGGAAACCGCAGTCCTGCCGGGTTCTCTGTCCCCTGCTGGCATTTCCTCAGCCAGTGCAGCCGGATCCCGCCCTTCATGCTGGTGCTGCCAGAGCACATCCCTTTATGCGTGTCTACAGCTGCTTTCTACACCAGTTAAGAGAGGAGTACATACGCCCGAAAACGGGGTTCTGCAAGGACGGAATGACCTCCCCGGTGCTCGCTCACCAGGGATCACGGAATGTCCTTTAGTACTCCTTGTAAGACGTGGCTGCTGGCCGCAGGTCCCCCCCGCTGACCTGGCAGTGCCTGTCCCGCTGTCGTTCTTAAAGGATGGCTTTGCTCAGTGCGGGATTCTTGGTTGGGGATTTTTTCTTAGAGATCCTGGAGTTGTGTGACTGTATCCACTCATTCTGCCAAGTTAGTGACGTATTTATGGAGCTCCCTGCTAAGGGAGGGTCGTTCTCCACGGCTGTCTTCAAGATGTCTTTGGTCCCTGGCTTTCAGGACTTAGCGCCGTGTGCGATTGCGGACCTCGCTGCATTTCTTCTACTGGGAACGGAGTCCTTTGAGATTCCTGTTGTGTTGGTCGCTATTTTTCAATAAATTTGGGAAGCTTCAGCCGTTATTTCTCTGTCTTTTCTGCTCCTTTCTGTCCTGATACTCCCATTACATGTATGTTGGTGCACTTACGTGTGTCCAGGGTTTTCTCGAAGGCTTCCTTTTTCACTCTCTTTTCTCTCTGTCCAGTTCTTTACTTGTGCTTTCTCGTAGCTCTTGAACAGGCCCCAAATGGCCACTTTTAAGTCTTTTTCTGATAAAGTCAAACCCGGCCACTCTCGCAGGCTCTTCTGTCATTGGCTGTATTCCAGGGTACGGGTCTGCTCTCCAGTTTCCTTGCATGCTCCATGACTTTCTGTCAAATCTGGGCATGTCAGGTAATGTAGCAATTCTGGGTTCCCCTCCGCTTGTTACTGTTGGTAGGCGTTTGTTTGTCTAGTGATTGGGCCGATGCTTCTGTTGGACGCTCTATTCCCCTCTTCCCAGGTGACAGTCAGTCCACTGCCCGGGCAGCACCTTCACCCTGGGGGCACTCTCCTGCTGCTCACAGACCACATCTGGCGCTTAAATTCCCATTAAATGCCGTTGGATTGCTCAGTTTGCCACAGTCGCCTGGGGCCTAACTTGCTCTGCAGACTAATCCGGTGGCGGCTTTGAAGGCTGAGGCCTGGCTTCCGAGTCGTGTTTGGTGCTTGCTCCGACCCCAGGAGGGCTCCTCCGACTGCGGGATTCCCCGCTTCTCACCTGCGGACTGTCTGGCCTGAAGTTTATCTTGGTTCTGTCATAGCTGCCTTTTTTCCACATCCTCTGCTGTTCCTGAGAGCTCCCTAAGGCCAAACCTTCTCCATACTCCTGCAGAGGAAGTCAGTTCTGAGGGGAGAGACAAGAGCCCTCTGTTGTAATGCCTGCCTCTCCTGCGGGCAAAGTCTCAGAGTCAAATGCTCCGTCTAGGGACCGTGACAGGCTTCACTGCAAGACACCTGTGTTACACCCAGAGCACTCTCAGAGAAGCGGCTGTGCAGCAGCCCAAGACCCCCTGGGCCTGCTTCTCCAGGCCTGGAACCACCTCCACAAGCAGGGCAAGGGTGAGGGGGCCCCAGTCTTCTCAGTGCTCTGCCCAGGCTGTCCCACAGCTGTGGGGTGGGCAGAAGGAAGCCCCCTCTTCTCAGCCACACACAACACAGGTCTTAGCATGGGAACAGGTAGGATGAGGACAGAATCAGAAAGGCTGACATCCCGCTCCAGGTGGGAGGAAACCTCTCTGTACGGGAGTGGGTGGGCGCCCCGTGTCCTCGGCCGTGGGGTCTAGAGTCCACACACCACACACCGTTTTGCAGGTGGTCCTGAGTGAGTGTTCCTTCATTTGCGCTTTGTCCATTTCCAAAAGACTTAAATGGTTTTTCATACTTTCTGCCAGTTTTATAGGGGTCAGCGGGGTTCCTCATGCTGTCTTGCCCTTTTGGGAAACCACATTTTTGCCTTTGACGTCCATTTTTAACCAGTCTGCCTGGAAGGTGGAAGACGTCAACAGCGGGAAGTTTTTCCTTTGGGGATTAAGTGGAAGCAGCCGGCTCTCCAAAGCAGAAGAAACTGCTAGATGCTTGACGTGCGGGAGCGGGCTCCTTGGGGGTTCCGCCCAAGACTGAACCAAACCAGCATGCGCCCAGTGTGGCTGCAGCTCTCGGGTGGATGACGGGTGGCACCAGAACCACCACAGCTCCGGAGCGTTGGCCTGGACCCACCAAGGGTGTGTCTTCGGGGGCCTGGAAAGTCGAAGATGAACCTGCCCACCCAGGGAGCCTGGTGCCCCCTAAGACAACAGTCCCTGCCTTGGAGATGAAGACAGAAGGCCTCTAGAAGCGCAAGGCCTCGGAGAAGAGCCAGGACGCCCCCCACCCCTGCTCAGCCCCCGCGGAGCTGCTGAGCAGCTTCAAGCGGCAGCTCTTGGAGCTCCTGTGAGCGCCGTGCGCGATGACGCAGGGCAAGGAGGACTTTAGGCCCTTTAGGCCACACAGCACTTGGCTGACCTCACACAGGCTCCTCCACGGAGCCATCCTCGTCTTAAAGCTGCTCCTTGGAAGCTGTTGAAGCAGCAGGCACAGCGCCTGCTACGTCAGTACTCGGTGACACTCGGTGACAGCAGCAGCTGTCCTCAGGGCCATTCGTCTGTCCGTCCGCCCCCCAATGCGCCCAGCCAGGCACAGTCACATGAGAAAGTGTTAGAAGGACTTGTAACAGAAGAGAAGACGGTTGGTGGCCTGGGATGGACATGGCCCTTCCCTCCCGGGGGGAGAGGGCTCCGGGCGGTGTGCTGGTACGGGACAGGGAGGGGGGTTCCAGAGCCTCTGCTGGCTCCGCTCCCCGTGTGTGGCTGCGTCCCCACGGCTGCCGGGCTTCCGCAAACATGCTCTTGACACGGCGCGGGCCCAGGCCCTTTACCTGGTCCAGAGCTCCTTGCCCCTACTGTGCGCACAGCTGGGAGGGTACCTGTCCTTCCATAGGCCGCTGCCTTTCCTTTTCCTTGCATTTGAACGCTCTCTGGGACCGCTCCTGCTGTCTCACAGCCTGGGTGAGCCGCCACCTCCCAGGGCCTCTGGAAAGCCATGGCTGCCGGGGCGGGGGCGGCCAGGACAGCGCGGTAGAGGCTCTACGCTGGCCTTTGATGAGTCTCTGCTGTGGAGCCTGCCACCCTCGACCCAGCCCCAGGGCCCACGTATCTGGGGCCTGCTGGGACGCGAGCCCACGGGCGTCCCACCCACATGCCCACGGGTCCTCGCCCACTGCTGTGCAACAAACCTTTACTGTCAGGTTTCAAGCTGAGCTTCAAACGGATCGTCTTCTCCCTACATTTGGTTTCCGTTCCAGAATGGAAAAAGGGATGAGTGGAAAACTGGTGAAACTCAAGGCAGGTGTGTGGTTTAGGGAGCAGGGAGGGCTGCACCAAGGCGACCTGGTTTGGCCAGAAGCACGTGGGTTCTCAGTTTTTACTGTTTTGGGTCATTCCTTCCTTGTTAGGAGACTGCGCCGCATTCAGAGTAAACCGGACACAGACTGCTAAGTCGGTAACATTAGCCACAACCTAACTGCTTTAAATCAGCAGAGTCGGGCTGTTTCCACCTCTACAGTGAGTGTGGGAGGCGTGGGGGGTGGCTTTGTTTTTCCTGTCCCCTTTTACGGAGAACTTGTACACCATGTAAAAGTTGGAGAACTTTCTGAGAAAGGGGATATGTGCTTCTGAACACATCTGAAGCTGACTTAATGCCGACGAACTCCCAAGTGCAGGTTCTTCCACATGCGTGCCGTGAAGGAGACACACCGCCCCGAGCTTCCAAAGACAGTAGCGAAGAACAGATGTGCGTCGTCTTTTTTTTTTTTTTTAGAGATTTATTTATTTGACAGGGAGATTGAACAAGTGGGCAGAGAGGCAGGGGGGTGGGGGGGGGTGGGGAGAAGCAGGCTCCCTGCTGAGCAGAGAGCCCGATGCAGGGCTTGATCCCAGGACCCCGAGATCATGACCTGAGCCGAAGGCAGAGGCTTAACCCACCGAGCCCCCCAGGCGCCCCAGAACAGATGTGCGTCTTAAACCCGGAACAGTTTTGTCTGTTTGCACACGGCCCCAGGTGTTTTTCCAGGAAGAGGAGGAGATGGGGCGGGAGGGACCCTGCAGCGGTTTCTTCGGGTGGGGATGCCGCGTGCCCGTGCTCACGTCCCTGAAGAGCACTGACTGACGCTGTGGGACCTGCTCTAGCTCGCAGGTGCTGTGCGGTCCTCAGCGCGCCTCCGAGCCCGCCGCTGCTCAGCCAGGTTGGCCTCTGCCCGGGACGCCGGCCCCGCCACGTCTGCCAGGACGCTATGCCAGGTGAGCCTTGCCGGCACAGAGACGCCGGGACTTGGGTTCGTTCCTGTACAAAACATTGCTCCTGAGGTGTGTCGGAAAGAGCGGGGTTGCTTACCCCGCAGAGGGACGTCGGGCGCTGTGATCACTGTCCGAGAAAGCTGTGCTCTGCGGGCCGGGCCGTGTCCTTGGAGCGCTTCCCCGGCGGGGGACACACGGGGCTCACGCTCCGTCCCCACACACCCCTCTTCCAGTCACTCTGAACTCAGCCTTACAGCCTTCTGCCTGAGGTCGGCTGAGCTTGGCTGGCATAGGGCCACGCCCCGTCCCCCCTGCAGTCTTGGCGAGCAAGCTTTGCCCTGCAGCCCTGGTGCCCAGAGTCGCTGGAAGGCCGACCTCCCCCGTCCCGCTCAGGGGTCTGGCTGGGACTCAGTCTGACGCCCGCAGCTGACACGGTTCCGCTTCTAGAGCTGCTCAAAGACCGTGACGTCCCTTTAGTGGCGTTTGCGAGCCCCTGCTCTGTCCTAGAACGCCTTGGTGTGGCTTACGTTCTAGCAGGCGTGCGTGGGAACTGGAGGTCTGTTGGCATTTTATGATCCGTCCATACCTGCTTCGGAAGTTCCCTTGGGCACTCCCAAGGCCCTCGGGTGAGCCGGCAGGGATGAGAGAGGTGGCCGGTGTGTCTACATCTTTCCCAGCCACCGGTTTAAATTCCGTACCTTTGGAGGCGGTGACCTAATCCTGTCCCCCAGGGTGTGGCAGCAGCATCTGGATTGTTCAGGAACGCTCGCCTCTGGGACAGAGATGTTCTTGATTGTCTCCCTGCCCCCTAATCCTAGATGTGTCTGGTTTCCTCCTACACTTTTCTGTTGATAGGCCTCGTCACACAAAGCTGCGGACAGGCGAATTTCCAAGAAGTTCAAGTATGACAAAGGTCATCTCGTGAAATCAGAATTACAGAAACTTGTCCCGAAGGGTGAAAGCCTTGGGCTGCCCAAGATTCCCCCAAGGAGCCCTTGTAATGATGAGTCTCTGGGGCTCGCTGAAGACCAGGGGCTGCCTCCAGGAAAGGGAGCTGGGGCTGCTGCCCAGCCCGCGGCCACAGGGCCCCCCCTCGGGGCCCGCACAGCTGTGGGCGACGCCAGCCCCGCAGAGACTGAGGACGGCCTGTGCCTGCCCACACCCGGGGTCCTTCCAGGAGAGGAGCCTCATGGCAGCCACGCCACACGGGGCGGGGCGGCGGAGCAGGCGCCGAGGCCCCCGCTACAGACAGACGACAGCGTCTTTCTGGACGAGGACAGCAACCAGCCCATGCCCGTGGGCCGGTTCTTCGGAAACGTGGAGCTCATGCAAGTAAGATGGGCCCCGCGGCTGCACACTGGGTCTGCTCATGGCCTGCGCGTGGCACTGCCTCAGGACAGGCCCCATTCCCCATGAGGAGGAGACACGCCGGCCACCTGGGAGCAGCCCCTCCCTGTCCTGAGCAGGGGATCCTTGCCAGGGCGCAGCCTCTGCTGAGAGGCCTCTCCTTCCTTGCTCAGCCATCGGGGTGGGGGTTGGTGCGGACTCTGGGCCTCCCCCCTCGGTCATGGGAGGGGAGCAGCCACCCCCCCACACACTTGCTGGCTATCGTCTTCCCTAGGATCAGCTGGGGGCGTGGGGGCGAGCCCTCCCCTGGGGTGCTCACCAGTGCGGTGGGCTGGCGGTGGCTGAGATGACTGTTCTCTCCCTCCAAGGACCTTCCCCCAGCGTCTTCGTCTTGTCCTTCGATGAGCAGACGGGAATTCAGGAAAATGCATTTCAGAGCCAAAGATGATGAAGACGACGACGACGGTGCCGAAATGTAGGGAATAAAGTACACGGCGGTTCCTTGCATATTTAATACCATTAGTAGTTTTGACAGTTTAGCAAGTGACGAGATTTTTATCTGTCTCCCAAGAAAATGTGTTCTTAGCCAGATGCTGAAATGGACCCATGAAGGTCCTCGGGCAGGACACCGGGTGCCTAGAGCGTCGACACTCGTGACCCGGAGCCGTCTCTCAGACTGGCCTCCGCTGCTCCACACGTTTTCTGGAGTCTGCTGCCGCGCCGATGGTGCGAGCCCCCGAGCTGCCCAGGGGTCCGTGGGAGAGACCGTTCCGAAGAAAACGCCTCCCTCGGCTCTCTGGCTTTGCTAAGAATTGAGCTTGTTTTCCATCATCAGAAGCGGATCATTCTTGTGATTGAGTCAGCGCCAGTTCTTGAAGAACTCTCCTTTATTTCTGTACATGGCGCTGCTGTTTACCTCGGAAACTTGCAAAGTACATATAAGAGAGAAATAAAATCTATTTTGAAAATATTTTCAAAGAAATCTTTGTTCCTAAAACCCTACTCCTTTCTAAAATGTCTGAGAGCCAAGTGGAGGACACGAATCCTTTCCTGTCTTCCGGGTGTCGGGCTGGGTTGGCCTTTGTGCCCGCTCGCTGCGGGGAGGGGACACCAGTGAGTGGAGAGCTGAGGCCACTGGCTAGAAGGGACGCGGCGCACACACACACCCCTGTGTAGACCGAGGGATTCCTGAGACCGCCGCGGTGGGCCACACAGTCCTCACCCCATGTGGCGATGAGGCCCGATGTCCCCAAGGGCTGTGGCCCCCCTCCGTGGTGTAACCAGTTTCAGAGATTACAGAGCACTGGGGAGGTAACACAGCAGGGAGCCTGGGTCCCCAGTGACCAACACAAGGAGAGAAGCTGCCTCCAGCTCAGGAAGACAGGGACCAAACGGCTCAACGCACAACATCTCTGGAGCTGCGTCCGCACCCTGGTCCACTCCCCTAGGACTCAGGAGAGAAGCCACGATGCTCATAGTCCCGTTTATCACAGGGAAGCCACCCGCAGGGAAAACGGCAGAGGAACAGCCTCCTGCAGTGGCCCCCGGGGCAGCACGGACGCAGGCTTCATCCTCCAAGCACCCGGGAAGCTCACCCGGGCCCCACTGGGGTCAGTCACACAGGCTCGCAGTGCCCGTCTGGGACCGAAACGCCCCCCGGCTGTCCCCGGTCTCACCTCATCAGCCCCTGCCTTGCTCTCACCCCTCACTGGGCTCCTTCAGCCCTGACCCCAGACTCTGCACGGCCAGCTGCCCATCCTGGCTGCCACGGAGGCCGCCGCAGGCCCGCGGTCTGGAGCTCCTCCCTCAGCAGCCTGGCCCACCAAGAGCCCGCGGCAAGTGGAGGCCCTGCCAGCACCAGGGACCAGGCGCCCCGATGTCACCGCAGTCATGCACCCACAGTGGGTCATCTCCCACTGAACCCCACAGTGGGGACCCTACACTCCCAGCTCCTAGAGTTTTCCCTCCCTTCTTTGGTTGAAAACAGACAACGAACCCCTATTTTGCAAAGAGGTTGTGCCACCGACTCTCCCCTGGGAGTCTGAGGGTCCCCTAACCGCCGGGTGACCCCCCCGCCCTCCCATCTGAACCCGGCACCCAGGCTGAGGGCCCCGACACGAGCAAACTCAACCACACGGCAACCGCGACAGCCCTGCGGCTCCTGCTCCAAGCCGAAGACGACTTCCACGTCCTGCCTCCCGAGGGGATGTAAGCGCCCATCAGGAAGGTGAGCAGGACCTCACAGAGGGCCGTGCGGGCAGCAGCAGAAGTCCCAGCAGATCAGATCTCAGAGCCCCGCCCGGTGGGCGGCCCCCGGCGCTGCTGCTGGGCTGGGGAAGGAGGGGCCACAGGACAGCTCAGCAGGCAGACAAGGGCCCAGCGGACTTTCCGACACCCCCGCCCGTGCGCTTCCCTGAGCGGCCGGCTGAACAGCACGTGCTCGAGTACCTGCGCAGGGCTGGCTCATCCTGACGCCTGTTTCAGTGAAAAAAATGGAATGATGTGTGTCGTTTTTTCAAAATCACTGACCCTTTATTTTCATCCTTATTTTTATCAGTCCCAGAGAGTGCCAACTTTCGATGGGTCTACTGAAAAATCTTTGTTGGTTTTTACAATTATACAAAAGTAAAAATTCAAGTAATATAATCTGCAGGACTTTAAGAAGTCAATTTTAAAAAATTACGAAATCAGTGCTTATTTCAAAAACTTCAGGTTTTATAAAACACAAGATTTAGAAAATTAGCCCTTTCTAATCCAGAGCACCCCCACCGCGTCCCCGGGGTTACTGTCCAGAAGGCACGTTTCCTCGCAGACTCCCGTGTGCAGTAACACGCACGTGTGACACACACAAAGGCGGTTATAAGACCAGGTCACCATCCGCGTGGGGAAGCCACTGAGCGCCTTGTGCCCTGCCACACGGCCCCGTTTCCACACAGAAACACACCAGAGTGTCGACGGGGAGGATGCCTGACCATTTCTGATTGACAAGAACAGCAATGTCCTGTTCCGGCATGAGACCACGGTCAGCCCTTCCCCTACGGACACACGCCGGAGGGTCTCCCGCTCTCTGCCACCAGAAATGATGGTCCTTGCACGTGCTTTTCTGAATACAAATGTTTTACCCCAAATGGGCTGCAACCCTTGGGCGCAATCGGAAAAGCCGAGAGGGCAGAGCTCTGCATGTGTCGCGGGAGCGCCCACCCAGCCGAGCGCGGACACAGACCACTTGTCCCTCAGGCCAGCGCGGCCATGTCTGGCCTGACTCCAGGCCAGTGGGGAGGCCACCCTGTGTGTGCACGGCAGTGGGGCCATCGGGGCGTTAGGGGCCCGAGCTGAGGACGATGCCTCGTCCCTGCCCACCCACACGTGTCCCGGCTGTGCAGCAACAGGTCCTTTGGCGCTAGAGCTCAGCGGTGCAAAACCCACTTCAGAGACTGTAGCGGGGACCTCTGAAGTCTCCAGGAGCCACACAGTGACAAGAACACAAACCACGGGCATCGCACCCGGGGAGGAAGCGTGGCCACCTGTCACGCCCGTCACCGGCCCCTGCGGGCCGGCCACCGCCTCTTCGGCTTCGACCGCGGTCTGTAGAGCCTGCGTGGGTCGCAGCTGAGCTTGTGGGTGGTTTTCTTATGGCAGGCGATGTGGACCAGCTTCAGGTTCTCCGAGGTGAAGAGCAGGTCGTAAAAGTACTCCCAGGCCACTTCCCTGCCATCTCGTGCTGTCACGGCTTCTGCCAGCGTGGGGACGACCGTGCGCTTCTTCTCTATTCTGCAAAGCGAGTGAGAGCCGGTCACTGGGCGCCGGCGCCATCCGCGGCCCCTGCCAGGACATCTGCCACAAAGCGCAGAGACATTTCGCCTGGCTTCTCCTCGGCCACCGCGGCCAAGCCAGCAACCAGCATGGGGGGCTTACGGGAAAGACACAAGTGCGACGGTTCAGAATTCACAAGGAGCCACACTTGGAAACACCCCGGAGGAGCAGCGCGGCAGGGACACCTCGTCTCGCCGTCAGCAGAAGGAGAACGGGGGGATGGTCCACTGGGGCACCACCGCACACGGCCACGCCCGCTGGCCCGGCCTGGAACCGGCAGCCTGGCTTGTCTCCCGCAGGACGGCTGGGACCACAACCTCTTTAAGTTCCGGGAAGGATGAAGGGAAGGGGCGGATCCCGGTGGCCTCGGTCCCCACCAACGCCGGTCCTCACGGTGCTGCCAGAGTGAGCGCCTGCCCGCCGGAACCCCAAGATAAAGCCTTCCCCCCTCCTCCCTGGAGAGCGTCGTGAGAAGGGCCGAATGTCTTTCCAGCCCCAACCTCATGCTTGTGTGTGTCCATGCTGCTGGCGTAAACCTGTTTCACTTACAAATGAGCCATTCGAGGCCCGCGCACTAGCAAGGACGGAAGCCTGCAGGCTGATGAGGAGGGACGCTGGTGGACCAACTGCAGACCCGTGTCCCCGCAGCACAGAGAAACGCCAAACACAAGGGAAAAGAAGTGGATACTCGGTATCACAAGAAAGAGGGGGCCCCACTGCCAGAAACAGAGACATCCACACTTGACCCGCAGGGTTAGCCACTGCCCTGCAGTGCACCAGGGCCACGGTCCAAGAAGGGGCCCAAGGGGAGGCAGGAGGTGGGACTGAGACCCCACTGCAGCCGTGAGTGCGGGAAGGGGAGTGGCGGGGAGCCCCGGGCTCTGGGGAGGGAGGAAAAGCCACCCTATCGGCCACCTACTGTGGCATCCTCAGCCCCACAATGGGAGCTTGTGGGAGTGTGTGTGGCCGGGCTCCCACTGATCCTGACCCACTCCTGTGGCTGTGCTGGCTGGAGGGCAGACTGGGGGCCGGGCTTCCTCCCCAGGGAGCCAGCTCAGGTCCCCCTGGGGACGGCAGCGCCCAGGGAATAGGCCCCAGTGAGCAGGGGCGTGTCAGGCGTGCACTGGAGCCACGCGGCCAAGCCTGACCCACCCATGAGAGGGGTCGGGGGTTCCCAAGGGGCAGGCAGCGGGGGACAGGATGCGGGAGCACCAACAGCATGAGCATTTCCAGTCACCCAGAAAGCCAGGACCCTTGGCTCACCGTTCAGAAACACACAGTCCGACCTCACACCGCCGCTCTAGTAGAAGCCAAGCAAGAAGTCAATACTCCGTGGTTTCGGAGCCACTGAAAGCTCTGGGCATCCGGCAGAAACAAAGGCAAAACCACTCTGTGGGGACAGGACACGCCAGTGCACACAGAACATCTACAGAAAACAATCCCGCTGAGAGGAAACTCAGAACCCAGACACACCGACATCACGAGGAACGCACGGCGGTGGGCAAAGACCCCCGAGAAAGACCCGGCCACAGCCTCTGAGACAGACAGCTGACAACTCGGGAGGGCTCCCTGAGACCACCCTCTCTGCCGACGCCAACTCTAAGGCCCAGGGCTCCCCGAGACCACCCACAGGATTGAGAGTGCACGACAGGCTCTGCCTCCCAGGTGAGGTTTATGGTCGCAAGGATGCAAGGGAAAATCAGCCAAGGGGAGGGGCCCAGAGGGTCGAGGCCAGGAAAGCCCCAGGTGCAGAGCTCCCGCCGCCCCTCCCCACGGAGGGCACAGACCCCCTTTGGGGGTGTGAGAACAAGGCAGGCAAGTCCCAGTCAGAACGGAGGGAAAGGCCTGCGCCCGCACACGCTCCGCGGCCAAGGACAAAGACGCTGGACCACGGCCACCGAAGAGGCAGAGAGCAGCCGACGCCCGGAGACCGTGCTGTCCTGCCTTCCAGGCCTGAAGGGGGACCCCTGACGCCCCGGAGAAGCAGGCGACAGTCCAAGGTACGGGGCCGTCTTCCCAGGCGGGAGAGCACGGGCCGCCCACGGACCCACACGGACGCCGGGCATCGGAAATCAGAAAGGAGCCGGAGGTCAGATGCGCAGGGAAGCCGCCCGGCTTGCTGGAAGGCCTAAGAGCCATATTTACTGAGAA